TTCTTAAAATAATTTTTTAGTACAAAAATTTTATTTTTTGTATTAAAAATAAGTTTTAAGAAGCAGAAAGAAAATCGTCGCTGTATAACCATAAGCATCTCATTTGGTTGGCACTGTATCTTAGTAGGGACATAGTTGTTTGAGTAATCATTATCGGACAATAAACCGAAAGAAGTGTTGGAATATGAGCTGAATGTAGACAATTTTATTTAAGATATTTTCATTTAAAGTTGATTACTTTAAAATAAGAATATGTGACGTGTAATGTAGATCATTTTAATTTGTTGGTTGAGAATTTTAATTATCTCAAGTGATTTTGAATTTAGATATTAAATATGTGATGTGTATAAATTTATTTTAGTTGACAAAAATTTCAAAATAAATAAAAAAACGATATGAGTTTTCTTCTTTTTCTTTTTAGCCGGAGTTAATTAATAAATCATACATTATATTCATCTAAAAATAAATTTAATAAAAAAAATATATTCAAATTAAATTTCTGATAGATTCTGACTTTTTTTTTTTTTTTTTGAGATTAATCCTTTAGCATTGACTGCTTCTAAGAAAAAAAAATCTCAATCAATTAAAATGTTAAAAAGAGAACAAAATAACACTATATAATGCATTATTGGAAAAACACTTTATAGCACGGAGAAATTATTCTGTGCGGAATTCGGTTACAGAGCTGTGTTCGGATGCCAGTAAAATCATTATACGTGGCGTGCTTATGTGAAAAGTTAGGATATTCATTTAACTTCTTATCCAACCCGTTTGTCTTTTCGGACTTACTGCAGACGAAGAGAAATCCACAACAAATAAGCAGTAAATAAGCAGAAAATGCGCAACATATACGCAACAAATACTCAATAAATACGCAATAAAATACTCAATCAATACGCACATTTTACGCAACGAATACGCAATAAATACTCAATCAATACGCAAGTCAAATAAATATCGCTGACTTTTAACTTTCCACGTAAGCATCCGAACACAGCTATATAACCGGATTCCGCACAGAATAATTTCTCTATAGCACGAGATGTTTGCTAAAGTAAAAGATAACAATAAAAATTTACGTCAGTGGAACAAACCCAACGACTGATAATGCTTCACCTGAATTTCTTTTTTTTTTTTTAAGGTTTATCAAACCTAGAAAACAAGTTTCATAATAACAAATATAACCGTCTTCCTGATGAAAATAAGTATTCAACTATTACTTTAAAATGTAATGGAAGTGAGAAAAGTGATTATTTTATTGGAATAACTTTAGGGATCGGTTAGCAGAATATCACAGAGAGAGGAGTATTGACGAAGTTCTACCAGAGCATGAAGAAAAGCAAGAAAAAACTATACAAAATAATAAGAAGTTTCGATATTCATTATTTTCTATTCTTCTGTTACAGTCAGATATCCTCATTCCTGGTCTAATCCTAGCCAATAAAAAGAACTCGCAAGATTTTAGTAATAATAAGCAAAATCAAACTTCACAAACGAAAGAAGACAAGCTTCCCTGTTATAACAAACTTCTTCCTAATATAATAGAGATCTGTTTTTATTATTACCCAACGTCATCCACCTCTGCTAGCCATTTTCAATAGCATAATCTTTAAGCCACGTTGGTGCACACTGGACACTTTGTCATCGTCAAATGCACAGTGGAGTGGCGCTAATTTGTTCCACGGTGGGTGTATTCTCCTTGTTACTGACGATGCACATACTACATATTATTCTCCATTTGCTGTGGAAGAACGACATTTCCTCGAATAAGAGTTTGGTATAGGCTTCTTGTTGGGATGAAAAAGGATTTTGGAACAAGAGAAGGATAAAGAGAAAAAGAGAAAGAAACTAGAAATTTTTATTTCTCATTTTTTGGCTTGATACAAATTCAAAGATACCACTACAATTTATAGTAGTAGTACATCGCAAGGATTATGCCAACACATTTCAATATAATGGTTACAAATGACTCTCTAGAGTATTCTCATATATTTTATCATAAATGATATTAAATGCCTATTCTACACTTTTCTAACAATTACTCCTTAATAGATTTCTGGAGACTTCTTAATAGATTTCTCTAGATTATCAGCTTCAATCAAAAGCCCAAATAACAATGGGTCAAATTAAGTTTAATTTCTAACATCCCCTTAAACGTAATTTTGTAACTCCAAGCAAATTTCTCATCTTGATATAGTTTTCATACTTGAGTGGCTTGGTGAAGATATCAGTAATTTAGTCTTGTGACTTCACATATTCCGCTTGCACTTTCGTCCTTGTAATGCATTCTCTAATATAGTAATAGTGTGATCAATGTGCTTACTTCTATCATAATTGCTGTACTTGTAGTGCATTTGATTCCTCGAAGGATTTCTTCGTGAGAAAGAAACTAGAGCACCCAAAAGTATTGTTGTACTTGTAAAATGCTTCTATCATAATACGCTTGATGAATCAGTTGGCGGCAATGTATCTTTCGGAGATGACTCAAAAATAGAAGTAAAAGGCAAAGGTAATATCCTTATTCGCTTGAAGAACATGAAGCATCAATATATTTCCAATGTCTATTTTGTGTCAAATATGAAGAGTAATATTTTAAGTTTGGGACAACTTTTGGAGAAAGGAAATAATATTCATTTAAGAAAATAATTATCTCCTCTTAAAAGATATTATTGGTATTTTAATTGCAAAAGTATCAATGTCAAGAAGCTAAACATTCAAAATGATATTGTCAAATGCCTCAAAGCTTGTCATAACGATGTTTCTTGATTATGACACCTCCGATTTAAGCATCTCAACTTTGGAGGATTGAAGTTGCTTTCCAAGAAAGAGATGGTGCGACATCTTGCATCAAACATCCCGATCAAATATGTGAAGCATGTCTACTTGGAAAGTATTTCAGGAAAAGTTTTCCAAGTGAATGAAGTTCGAGAGCACGAAAGTCATTGGAGCTCATAAATACAAATGTCTGTGGACCAATAAAGTCAAGCTCACTCAGCAAGAGCAACTACTTTCTTCTCTTCATTGATGATTTCTCATGAAAAATATGGGTGTACTTTTTGAAGCAAAAATTAGAAGTATTTTGCGTATTTAATAAATTGAAGGCCACCGTCGAGAAAGAAAGTGGAATCAAGATCAAGGCTATGTGATCTGATCGAGGAGAATTCATTTAAAAGAATTTCAAGAATTATGTGATGCCAATGGGATACGTCAATCTCTAATTATCCCAGGATCCCCTCAACAAAATGTAGCAAAGGGGAATACAGAACCATCCTTGACATGGCAAGGAGTATGCTCAAAAGCAAGAGGCTGTCAAAGGAATTTTGGGAAGAAGCAGTCTCATGTGCAGTTTATTTGGCCAACCGTTCACAAACAAGAAGTGTGTGGGGAATGACTCCACAAGAAGCATGGAGCGGAAGAAAGCCCGACATCTCTAACTAAAAAGTTTTTTGGAAGCATAGCTCATGTACACATATCTGACATTTAAAGAAGTAAGTTAAATGACAAAAGTCAAAAGTTTATTTTCATTGGCTACGACAACAACTCAAAATGATACAAGCTATACAATCAAAATTAGTGGCAAAATGCTACAGTCAAAGAGCTGGCATCGACTATAATAAGGTATTTGCTCATGTTGCTCGTTTAAAAATAATTAGAATAATCATCTCCTTGGCAGCTCAAAATAAATGGAAGATACATCAAATGGATGTAAAATCACCCTTCTTGAATGGAGTTCTAGAAGAAATATATTCAACAACCATAAAGATACGAAGCTAAAAGGCAAGAAGATAAAGTTTTAAAGTTAAAAAAGGTGCTCTATGGGTTGAAATAAGCATCAAGAGCATGGAATAATCGGATAGATAAGTACCTGCAAGTCAAAGGGTTTATGAACATGCTCTTTACATCAAGAATAAGAATAAAGTTGTTTTAATCGTTTGCTTGTTCATTGATAATTTGATCTTCACCGAAAATAATCAAATGATGTTTCAAAAATTCAAACAAGCAATGACTAAGGAATTCGAGATGATTGATATTGCGCTCATGGCCTATTACTTAGGCATTGAAGTCCATCAAATGAAAGATGGGATATTTATCACACAAGAGAGCTATGTAAAAGACATGTTGAAGAAGTTCAATATAGATAATTGCAAACTTATAAATACTCCTATTAAATGTGGAGTCAAGTATCAAAGCACGATGAAGGAGAAAGAGTCGATCCAACATTTTTCAAGAGCCTAGTTGGCAGTTTGCGCTACTTAACATGAAGAAGGCCTGATATTATTTATGCTGTCAGACTTGTTAGTCGCTATATAAAGACACCAACCACCGGCCACTTAAAGACTGCTAATAGAATCTTACGTTATATCAAAGGTACAATTCACTTTGGCTTACTCTACTTGTCATCTAAAGGTTTTAAAGTTTTAGGATATAGCGACACTGATTGGGCTGGCGACATGGATGATATAAAGAGTGCCACTGGTTATGTGTTCTTCATGGGAGATACAACTTTCACCTGCATATCAAAGAAACAACCCATTTTTAGTATATCTATTTGTGAAGCAAAGTACGTAGTTGCAACATCTTGTATTTATTATGCATCGAAACTTGTTAAAAGAATTGAGCTTACCTCAAGAAAAAGCAACGAAGATTCATGTTGATAATAAGCCTGTAATAACATTAGCAAAAAATCCAATTTTTCATGATAGAAGCATTGATACATGATATCACTATATCAGAGAATATATTATAAGTAAATGCAAGCAGAATATGTGAAGACACAAAACCAATTTGCTGACATCTTCACAATACCACTCAAGTATGTAGACTATGTCAGGATGACAAAGTTGTTTGGAGTAACAAAATTAAGCTTAAGAGGGGATGTTGAAAATTAAACTTAATTTAGCCTATTGATATTCGGGCATTTGATTAAAGCTCATAATCGAGAGAAATCTATTAAAGAAGACTCTAAAAATTTATTAAAGAGCAATTGTTAGAAAAGTCTATAATAGGCATTTAATGTCACTTATGATAGAAGATATGAGAATACTCTAAAGAGTCATTTATAATCATTAGATTAAATTATGTTGACATAATCCTAACGGTGTATTACTAGTATAAATAGTGGTGCTGCCTTTAAGTTTGTATCAAACCAAAAGTGTGAAATAAAATTTATAGTTTCCTTCTCTTTTCTCTTTAGCCTTTACTTGTTTCAAAAGTCTTTTTTCATTCCAAGAAAGAGATTCAAGAAAGAGAGACAAGAAGGCTCTCTTCTCCATCTATCAAGCGTTAGATGATGATGGCTTTGAGAATAACCCAAGAGTTGTTGCAATACCAAAATTTCTAAAGAAATAAAAATTTCTAGTTTCTAAAGAAGCAAGCACATTGATACACACTATCACTATATCAGATAATGTATTACAAGAAAGGATGTGCAAGCAAAATATGTGAACAAGATATTGTTTAGATAGAAGAAAGTACATTGATATACGTTATCACTATATTAGAGAACACATTACAAGTAGATGTTTTGGGTTCCTCGAATTACCTTTTTAACACAAAATGATAGTTTAAGAGATTCAAGAATGAGAGACAAGAAAGCTCTCTTCCTTATTTATCAAGCATTAGATGATGATGGCTTTGAGAAAATCTCAAATGCTACATAAGCCACGCAAGCATGGGAGAAGCTCCAAGTATCATACAATGGAGAAGAGAAGCTTAAAAAGGTATGTCTTGAAACGTTAATAAGATAATTTACGACTTGCAAATGAAAGATGGTGAGACGGTCTTTGATTATTTTTCAAGAAATCTTTACATTTCTAATCAACAAAAAAGAAATGATGAGGAACTAGAATATGTATCTATCATTAAGAAGATTCTTCGATCATTAGAATCAAGATTTGAATGTATCACAACTAGAAGATGTGACTATCATAGAACAACTCTTGTAGATATTTTATCTCCTCGATGATAGTTGTGATAGTATCAAATCTTGATTCTAATGATCGAAGAATATTTTCAATGATAGTCATATTTTCTAGCTTCTCAATATTTCTTTTTAGTTGATTAGAAATGGCAAGAACTATTGAAAAATAATCGGAGACTGTCTCACCTTTTTTCATTTGCAAGGCGTTAAATTATCTTCTTAACATTTGAAGAAATACATTTTTAATCTTCTCTTCTCCCTTGTACGATACTTGGAGCTTGTCCCACGCTTGCTTGCTGATGTAGCACATGAGATTTTCTCAAAGCCATCATCATCTAACGCTTGATAGATGAGGAAGAGAGCCTTTTTGTCTCTCTTTCTCGAATCTCCTAATTATGTGTTAAGGATAGAATTGACTCATCGTTTGGCTCATCATAGCCTTTCTCTACAATCTCCCAAACATCATGTGCTCTGAGAAGTGTCTTCATCTTTATACTCCAATTATCATAATCTATTGTCTTCAGTAATGTAACTTGGAAGGAAGCCATACCTTCATTCGCCATGTCTAAATAAGAACTTAGCTTTGATACCACTTTGTTGGAATGAAAATGAATTTTGGAAAAAGAGAAGGCTAAAGAGAAAAGAAAAACAAACTAGAAAAATTTTATTTCACTTTTTGACTTGATACAAACTCAAAGACATCATCACTATTTATACTAGTAGTATACCGCTAGGGTTATGCCAACGCATTTCAATCTAATGATTACGGATGACTCTCTAGAGTATTCTTATATATTCTATCATAAATGACATTAAATGCATATTCTAGACTTTTCTAACAATTACTTCTTTATAGATTTCTAGAGTCTTCTTCAATAGATTTCTTTAGATTTTGGACATCAATAAGAAAACCCAAATAACAATGGGCCAAATTAAGTTTAATTTCCAACACTTCTCATAATTAACGGTCTGAAAGCCAAGTGGCTTCCTGTACAGGGAAGTCATCATACCATTGCACAAGATGTTGAGTAATTATATTATCCCCTTTCCATAATTGGCAAGTTTTCAGGATTTCGAGAGTTGGAGATATGGTGAACTGGCAATGAATTGCTGGCAGTGATAGGGAGTGGAAGCTAGAATCGTGTTTATATGGTTTGAGAAGTGCAACATGAAAGACAGGAGTCAGAAAACGAACACCAGCGAAAGAGTACATGAGCTATAAGTGTATTTATATATACAAGCATTAAGTGTGTTTGGGTTAATGTAAAAGATGAATACAATGACTACTGCTTGCCATTCATATGTGTGTTCTGCTATTACTGTTCTAACATTTACTGCAGGAATGTATATGCAGTTCTTTCAGAATACGTATGTATCTTCAGGAATTATATGAATATTCTGCCCGCAGCAAAAATTATGGCCAAGTTGTTTGATTGCTAAGGTACTGCCCCAATGATTGATTAGTTACCTCCGCTTATTTTTCAGTCTCGGGATGGTGAGCAGGAGTAAATTGAAGTGTGGTACCCATCTTCTTGAGTACAGTTCCCTACAAACCACTCATGAAGCTGCTATTAGAGTACAACACGATGGTTTTGGGGATGCCATGAAGGCAGCATAGAGCAATGAAATTAGGTTTTAAGGGAATGAAGTGTGCATATTTAGACAGTCAACAACCATCATAATGGTGTTGATTTGTTATCAGCAGGTGACAAAAGATCAATAAAATCAAATGAGATGTTTATACACAATTCTTCTACGATTGGACGTGGCTGTAATGGCCTTGCTGCAGCAAGAGGTCGGTACTTTTTGCTTGGCAAATGTCGCCTGAATTGATAAATTTTTGGACATCAGTTTGCATTAGCTAATAGAAGTGCGTTCTTAGTGCAAAGTTCTTCGTATCCCAAAGTGACAAATTGCAATCACCTGTAGAGAATGCTGCCAGCAGGATGCATTCTTTTTTTGAAAATAAGTCTCACGTACTTGCAAATCTGGGTGGTTGTAGCTATGTAGAGTAATCTGTGATTGCAATTTGTCATATAAGGTAGAAATAGAATTGGATAATAAAATTAGAATTGTAAGACCTATGCAAACCTTATGTTGTTAACCGAGTATGTGAAACATGCATCAGCCACTTGATTGTGTGTGCCCGGCTTGTATAAATTTGAAAACTCATAGCAAAGTAGTTCGAGTATAAAGAGTAGTTGCTTTGAAGTTTAGATTAGCTGTGACACTGTGTCATGAGTTCGCAGGTACTCCAATACAGATAGTGAAGCCAAGTAATGATACCATTTGATGGCTTTTTCTTCGGTGATCGCAAAAAGTTTGCGAGCAAAAGTATGGGCTTAATGCGTCTTGTGATTCAACTTTTTGCTAAAATATGGCATAGGTTTATCGTCAAGGCGCAAGACAGCAATACTGCCAAATCCCCAAGCATCTGCATCCATGAGAAATAGTTTTGAAAATTCAGTTACCATCTATGAAGATGGCTTCTTGTGATTTTGATAACCATTTGAAGAAGTCTCACTGTAGAAGATTTATTAAGGGTGCTACAACGCGAAATAACATATGGATTAACTTTTGGTAAATAGCCAGCTAGGCCTACGTAACAATAGTGGTTTTTCATATAGGTTGGCTTCGGCCAATGGGTTATGTCTTGAATTTTGTCCTTGCTAAGGAGACCGTATGGCCTAAATATTAAATGTTGGCTTGGACAATAGAATATTTGGATTGTTGGAGTAGCTAATTATGGCATAGGCAATCATAGATCGTACAAAGATGGCTAAGATAAAGTTCTATTGTAGAACAATAGATGAGGATGTCGTTAAAGCAGACAATGATGAGTTTTCATAAGAATCATTTAAGAATTTTGTTCATGAGGATTTGGAATTTGGAAGGTGCATTAATGAGGCCGAATGGCATTGTAGAAAATTCATAATGACCATCATGCATAAAGAGTCCATTTTTTAGATGTCTTGAGTTGCCATTCTTATTTGGTCATCCGGCTTTGAGGCCTGATTTAGAGTAAGTAGTGGTGCCATGTAGATCATTAAGCATATTGTCTACAATTAGGATGGGAAAATTGTTGGGGTTAATTTCCTGGTAAGAATTGCAAGTGTATCTGGGTATGACAAGATTGGCATGGGTGTGGGGGAAGGACGGAATAGCCAGTGTAGGCATTGTCATTGAGCTTGTCCTCAATTAGTTTGGTTAGCGTAATTGCTTCATCAAGAGAAGTCAAACAGTGAAGGCCAACCACCTTTCTAATGCCTAGTCTAAATACCAATTTGAAGCTACTCTCCATAAATAGTTTATTAACTACAATACTTTAATTTGACAATGTCTCAAATTGGAGTTGATAGTCAGCAATCATGGTTGTTTGCAACATTTTTGTAAGTTCACTTTGTAAATCTCGATGTTTAAATAGTCTAAACTAGTGTGAAGGGTGAAAAAAAAAAACCTTCCTAACAAGAGAGGCTTTTTGCCTTTGTGAGCCAAAGGAACCGCTCTTTGGTCAGTCCATCCAAATGGAAGGTGAGCTTGTCCAAATCCAAGAGCTTGTGATAGCTATGATAGTGCTATATTTTTTGCATCCATGTTTCAAAGCTATCTCCATTGAATTTTGGGAATAGTGATTTGCATGGATTTGAAAGGACTTAAGCCCAAGAGCTCTAGCATGTGAGTGGAAGGTGCAGTTTGAATAGACGGAATGGCGGTGGATTTTTCCATTTGTTCTTGCTTCATTAAGCAATGTTAATTGAACCTATACCTCATAGATGATGTCCACAATCTCAAAGAGTTTATCATCATCGAAGGCTAGGCATTCATTGGTAAAGACTGCATGGGAACCTCCAACCATAAGGTTGAAAGGTAGAAGGTGAACAATGAGAGCACCAAATGATAGCGTTAACTTGAGGTAGTTATGTAACCTTGTGGTAGTTTCCAAGACTAAGTAAGGTAACTTTGTGGTAGTTTCCAAGACCTTTATTTGACCAACCACCTCTTCAGTTCCATGTAATGTTTTGACTTTTCAGTTACCTAAAAGGCTTATAGATATCAAGAATGCCAGAACATATGATCTTTTGAAGAAGTAAAATTCAAATTTTGGCGAAGAAATCTCTTTCAAGGGGAAGGCTTGGTGGCATCTTCTGAATCCTTGGTTTGATGACCTGGATAAACCCCTCTTTGGAAAGGAGGTTTATGTTCTTGTTATTTTTTTTGTTTGGCTAGGTTTCTTCTGCTCGTTATCTTCCATACAGTCCCCCCAAGTGATCCTGAACTTACTGTTGACCTTCGCATATTATCAAAAAAAAAAAAAGAGAGAAAGTTTAAAGCTCTTACTTGTTATACAACATCTCCCGTCGAGTCCTCTACAAAATCTAGAAAATCCGCTGAAATATCGCTGAACCACTGTAGCACGGCGCCGCTCATGTCTCGATCGGAAATCCTACCTAAATCTCGCGATCTACCTCGCAGAATGATCCTGCTTGTCATTAAAAGGAGAACGAAGAGGGCTTCCCAGAGGTTCTTCCATTCGCGGACTCCAGCCTCTTCCCGATCTCCTTTCCCTGAGACCGAGCTCCCGTCGCCTTTCTTCATCCCGCCCCTTGCCCAACCTCTCGGTCGTCCCGATCCACAGAGAGAGACAGAGAGAGAGACAGAGAGAGAGAGAGAGAGACCTACCGAGGCTGCCCCTGCCTATTCCGATCCCACATGAAGCCGTCGAACACTCAAAGTGCCGACCTCCCATCTGTTCCCTCAAGCCGAGAGCCCCCTCCTTCTCGAACCCCAAGCCAAAGCCGACCCTCTATCTCTTCTTTAAGCCGCAAATCTCCACATCCATCCGCCGAGAGAGAGAGAGAGAGAGGGTGAGAGAGAGAGAGAGAGAGAGAGAGAGAGAGATAAATCCTTACCTCTTGCTCTCTGCCAAACTCCTATTCGACGAAGCTCTCAAAGCCGCAAGCCAGAGCTTTCGTCCCCTATCCTCCTCTGATCCTAGCCCTCAGCCCAACGACCTGCATACCTGAGACTTCCTCTATCCCAAACTTGTCTTCCTTCTACTCACATCCAAGCCGAACCCATATAAGAGCCCTATCCGACCCACTCCACTTAATAACCTACTCCAAATCAACCTAAGGCCTAGCCGATCTCCCTTAGATAATTAGGTATATTTCTTTTCATTTTGTTTCAATTATTTGTTATTATTAAATATTATTAGTATTTTAATTATTGTTATACGTGTGTGTGTGTTTGTGATAGGGGAAAAAGAAAAGAACAAAAAAAGTGATAAAAGATTTAAAAAAAATAGAAAAAGAAGAGAAGTATAATTTTTGTGCCCTCCACCCCATCGACATCGCTGGAATGCTAAGGTACAAGTTCCTAAACCCTAAAACTCCGAGAACCCTCTTTCAACTATTGCAACGCGACAAAACAACCATATATACATTCTTTTCTTAGCTTGATGGTAGGAAGTTTGTGGCGGTGCTCTCGAAGAATCGGGTGATCACCTAAAGTCCCTTCTTTAGAGTTTGTGGCGCACCACAAAACCTTTTATAAACGCTTTACTTAGCATGGTGGGATGGGAACCCGGTGCGACAAGTTCGAAGAAGTGGGGATATCCATAAGTACCAGCTTGTGGGGAAATAACTGCATTTCTTTTGGAACAGGTACCAAAAACCCATACACGCTTTTCTTAGCATGGTGGGCGACAAAAATAAATATGGCTGCAGAATTATCGTTTGGGGACACCTACCATACACGCTTTTTTTAGCATGTTGGGAAGGCCCAGTTTCGCGTAGTTTGCCCCTAAAAGAGGGAGACGCAAAGAGGCTGCAAAGATTTTGAGTAAATGCAAGAACATACTTGAACTTGATTTGGATTTATTCAAACACAAAGAACATGAACTCAAATTTGAATTCATATTGAACTGATTTAAATTGATGGCAAAATAAAAATGAACCACAACAAATTTAATGTGGACTTGAATGAATATAAATGACTTGTCTAAGATTTGAGTTGGACTCAAGCTGTACTGCACTTGAACTCGAACTTGAACTGAATATTGGAACTTTAACTTGAATTGAGTTTGAACTCAAGAAGAGCACTTGATCTTTGAAGAAGACCCAAACTTGAACTAAAGCTCAATTGCAGAAGACCTAAATTTAAGAGGACCACAGAGGACTTAAGTTGAATATACAAATTGAATCATATGAAAATGACATGGTTTACAAAATAATAAGTTTCAAATTGAATACAAAAGAACATATATGAAGCTTGTGATGAATGAGAGACTTGCAAATACTACTTGTTTATAAGAAGCGAAGAATTGTAGAGAACCTAATCAAATTTCATGATATGATGCTCTCAAAGGAAATATATGATTTGCTTGCAGACAATAATCAATAAAGGGATATAAAATGGTTGCAAAAAAATGGACAAGAATATTCCAACGATCATTGCAAATCATATACAAGTGTTAGTGATCAACATGTTACAAATGTATCAATCTTGCAAGCATACAAATAAGTGGAAATCCATAGGAAATGAATATTATAAGGTGTATACGAACGATTGCAAGCAAATATCAATGAACAAATTATTATGTAGACCATTTACTATTTTTAAAGGCATGTTGTTATAAAGGATCTTCAACTTACACATAAGCAATGTGTGGCCAAATGTCCATGTCAGTGGATCCACAAGTTCATTCAAAGAAGTTGGATAACATTTAACGAAAGAAGCCCCTAATGAATGATACAATCTATCCATAATGATTATGCCAATCCAGAAGCTGATGTTAAATGGAAATAATGATAATGTTGTTATTCATGTCATAAGCCTTCAAGAAATATAATAGGCATAGTAATTTTCTATTTGTTATACACAATAAATGCAGCATGCTTGCAACCATCGAGGGGAAACAACTTGATTATAATAGTGTATTAGTGTGTTCATGGATAGAACACCAAAGCTCATACACAATTGATGTCACTCAAGTGTAAAAATATACACTAGACTCCCTCAAATGACAATAACCAGCACATGTGAAGAAATGGATGGTGAGAAATACAACAAATGCACAATCCTTCAAGTCATTGTAGAAGACTCTTCATATACGCAATACACTATCTAAAGACAAATATAGAATAATTGTGATAAATGTAAGAGCCCTTATATAACACCAGAATATCTGTAATACATATAGTTTCTCTACGAATATAGATGTATATATAACATGCCATCCATGAGTAGATACAAAAAGACTTCAGTAAATACAGTATCCTGTAATTAATTTCAGCCCATAAATGAATACATCTACCTACCTACATGTAGCAGTAGTGGATGTACTAAAAAGACCAAAGGCCACAAAAAAATTCATAAAGAATGAAACAAAAGCAAGTTCATATGAGCTTTTGTAGGAAACTCGCTACACACTTAACATGTCATCCACAAGAAAGATATAAGGGAGATGCAGCAAATGACAACATCTATCAACAGAAAAGCAGTAGATTCATTAGTGCACTACAATCCATCTACATAAAAAAATGAGTAGTGCATGACAGTCTGCCTGTACAAAGCAGTAAATAACTCAATCTAGAAGCTACTACAACACGCCATCGGATCTGCAATATTCATACAAGTAGATAGAAGGCGTCAACAAAGTCTGAAATAAGTACCCCCATACATGCATTGTAATTTGTATACACATAGGGACACAGAAGGGGTAAATATAATCAAACATCTGGATGGGCCCCAGCGAGTGTGTTATTAATACACACATGAGGTCTAGGGATGCTATGCGGGTCAATAAATTTGAACCTGATCCTCCTAAGTAAGTAGATATGAGTCGACAAGGTTCTATAAATAATTATAAAATGCCCCTAAACACCCACATGGGCCCCGAAGAGCATGTTATTGGTACACATGTAACGTCTAGGGATGATGCCCAGGTCAATAAGTGAATTTAAGTTTGAACCCGATCCTTCTATGTAGATCAATAGGAGTCGACATGGGTCGAACTATCAAACAAATATACGGCAGTGGCGACCGATATATTTGTCTTAATATATTTATATTAGGTCTTCAAGGCCTATAATAATATGAATTCACTAATAAAAAAATGAAACCTATAAAACTGGATCACCTATCAGCAAATTGATAGTGTCGACACAGATTAATCAAATGGAAATGATCCCAAATAACCCGATGATGACCGTGTTGAACAAAAATCTCAACCGGAGGGGTCCATTCCAACTATTAAAATGCCATCCAAATATCCAAAGATCCAAAATTCAAAACTTCAAAAATGTCATACAAAAATCTCCAAAAACCTAAATATTTAAATTTGAAATTAACCATCAAACTACTTAAAGTAAAATACATCCACCCACCGCAACAGTTTGCTAGGGTGGACAAATTTGAATAAACTTTAGCTCACATACAGCTAAATGCCTGGTCAAAAATATCACTATGATCTATTCTTAATTAATCTTCTACTAGTAAGGACGTGGTAAGTGTCCTCTGACCAACAGTTTTACCACCAAATGGAACAGCAGGATAAACGGTTATGACCCGAGGCCTTTGAATCGAGTGATTTTTTCGCCAAATGGCACCACGAAATACCAACTATGGCCAGAGCCAATGTGTTCCTTAATGGCATCAAATCCTTAAGATATGAATCAATAGGATATGACCGATAGGGAGGGAATAAATTCCTCTGAGCTAAGGTGTATTTAAAATTTTTTCCTTAGGTAAACATTCACCTTAGGTCTATAAGGTCCCCTTGGACGAAGCAACCTATGGCCGCCGATAAGAATCCTTCTGTCAAGTTGGGTCAACTACCTCCTTTGACTAAGTAGACCAGGGACCATGATTATCCAGGATGACGGAACCATGAGATCTCGATCAGGACCATTATCCATTCTCCCACCATTCGCTTTAAGTGCAAGATGGTGAAATTTCAAGTTTTTTAAATATTAATCTTCTAACCTTCAAATTTCTAAATTTTTAATACCTAAGCCCATGATGTTATTATATGCTAGATATTATGTATCTCTACATATTTGATCGATGAATAGCCTTAATCGAAAGTTCTCTCTCATTATTCGAAAGGGTAATTAACTATAGGGGCTTGCGCCAACAGGAAACCATAACTCAGATCATAAAGTCCTCACAAAATGAGGGCGAAATCTCTGGGTAGTGTCTTATCTACACCCATCTGCCTTTCAAAATTTACCCTGAAACTAAATCCGTTAAAACTCTCTCGCCGAAGAAAAAGAAAATCAATCAGCGGGTGGAGGTCGGGGCAAAATTTT